GTCCTCGGGCGAAGTGCCCGGGCCCACCAGCCGCTCGTGCTTCTCGATCCAGGCGTTGTAGTAGCGCACGATGTTCTCATGGTGCAGGCGCGACAGCAGCGTCACCTCGCCCTTGATCCTGCGGAAGTGCCTGCTGGCCGGGTTGATGGGGATGCGCTTCACCGCGTAGCAGCAGCCGTCCAGCTTGTTCTGCACCTGCAGCGGGGACCGAAGGGGGCCAGGGACCGTCAGTCGCTCAGAACCGTAAGCAGACTGGCATCTGTAGCCACCCAAGCCCTCCCAAGGAGAACCTGGAGTTCTGAGCGAAAACAAACAGCTACCCTCTGGGACTCTGAAGCTGGAAAATTCTTGACAGCCCAAGACTTAGAAAACATCTCACCCTAAACCAGATGTATTTACATTGCTAAGAGCCCTTGGGGAAAACAATGTCCATTTTAACCATTAACTGTATAGATAACTTTCCTAATAGCACATCTGCTATCTAAATTTCTAAGTAGAACCTTATTGCTTTCTTAACCGTGTTTTGAAAATAATTATTTTCCAAAGTCAATGTAAGGCTTCAGAAGATGACTTTAGTTTCTCTGATTTTTTTTTTTAACTCTTAAAGTCACTAAACACAAACTAAACTCCAAAAATTTCAACAGACCTAAATGAAAATTCTAATTCTCAACTTATAAAGCTGTGTGAATTTAGAATAATTGATTTCCTTGAGACTTAATTTTCTCACCTATAAAATGGCATCTATATCACTTTCTTTACCTCAAAGGCTGACTATAAAGATTAAATGAGCCAAGCCTGTGTGGCTCAGCAGTTGAGCATCTACCTAGCAACTAAGAGGTCATGGATTCCACTCCCGGTCAGGGCACAGGCCCATCTCCAGTAGGGGGGGTGTGGGAGGCAGCCAATTGATGATATTCCTCTCTCATCGATGTTTCAATCTCTTTATCCCTCTCCCTTCCTCTCTTTCTAAGAAATCAATTAGAAAGAAAGAAAGAGAGAGAGAGAGAGAGAGCGAGAGAGAGAGAGAGAGAGCGAGAGAGAGAGAGAGAGAGCGAGAGAGAGAGAGAGAGAGCGAGAGAGAGAGAGAGAGAGCGAGAGAGAGAGAGAGAGAGCGAGAGAGAGAGAGAGAGAGAAAGAAAGAAAGAAAGAAAAGATTAAATGAGCCCTGGCCAGGTGGCTTAATCAGTTAGAGCACTGTCCCATACACCAAAAGGTTGCAGGTTCAATTCCTGGTCAGGGCACATACCTAGGTTTCTGATTCAATCCCCAGTCAGGGAGCATTCAGGAGGCACCTTATTGACATTTCTCTCTCACATCGATGTTTTTCTCTTTCTTTCTCTCCCTTCTTCTCTCTCTGAAATCAATGGAAACATATCCTCGGGTGATGATTGAAAAAAAAAAAGATTAAATGAAATGAGGTGGATAAAGCACCTGTATCAAGGCTGCACAGAGAAAGCTGCTCAGTAGGTAACAGCAGTTGGTATTAACACAAGTAATGCCCATTGATTTTGTTAGGAAGACTGCAGATTTACCACTGGTAGGTACTGAAACTAGAACAATACCATTAGAAACACAACAAAATATAAGTAAAAGTTTCAAAGCCAAGTCTCCAGGTATCCTTATGCTGAGGGAGAAGCCAGTTGATGACAAAAAAACAAAAAACAAAACCACAACACGGCACATCATTCTCATGTTTGGTTCATAGGTTTCAGATTATCCTGTGTGTGTGTGTGTGTGTGTGTATAAACAGATGCTTTCAAGTAAAACAGATATGGGTCTGAGGACAGTGGGAAGTCTTAGCATTGTCTTTCAACCTCCTATCTCAGTACATATCATATATATTGTGAGTCACTGGGGTGTGGTGCTTGCCATACTGGAAACTCCTAGGAATTCACTTATTCAATGGAAAGGTACATGAACAGTAATGGGTCCAACTGCCAATGAAATGCCAGACCACTGAGCAGACTGCCCTGCCCTAACCAGGAGACAGAGGGGGGTGTAAGGGCTATTCGGTTCTCAGAGGGAGAAACTACAGGAAAAACTTAGTTGTTTAAATTACTATGATGTTTTAGTTATATAAGCTTACTAATAATTTTTAAGTACTTATAAGGAAACTAGAGACCTGATACACGGAATTTGTGCACTTGGCGGGGGGCGGGCAGGGAGGCTCAGCCAGGCCTGCACCCTCTCTCAGTCCGGGAGCCCTCAGGAGATGTTGACTGACGACTTAAGCCTTCAGACATCCTTAGCATTGCCACAGAAGTGGGAGAGGCTCCCGCCACCCCCGCTGCACTCACCAGCTGTGAGCCCTGCTTCTGGCTGAGTGGCGCTCCCCCTGTGGGAGTGCACTGACCACCAGGGGGCAGCTCCTGCATTGAGCATCTGCCCCTTGGTGGTCAGTGCATGTCATAGCAACTGGTCATTCCACTGGATGATTTGCATATTAGCCTTTTATTATATAGGATGAAGTTTTGCATTTTTGTTGGTTGTTTTTTAAAAAAACATTTTTATTGATTTTTACAGAGAGGCAGGGAGAGGGATAAAGAGTTAGAAACATTGATGAGAGAGAAACATCAATCAGCTGCCTCCTGCATGCCCCCTACTAGGGATGGAGCCCACAACCAAGGTACATGCCTTTGACCAGAATTGAACCTGAGACCCTTCAGTCTGTGGCTCAACACTATCCACCAAGCCAAGCCCATTAGGAATGTTTGTTTTTTAAAATATATTTTATTGATTTCAGAGAGGAAGAGAGAGAGAGAGAGAGAGAAGAGAGAGAGAGAATATTTTTATTGATTTCAGAGAGGACGGGAGATGGAGAGAGAGAGAGAGAGAGAGAGAGAGAGAGAGAGAGAGAGAGAATATCATTGAATGGTTGCCTCCTGCACACCCCACACTGGGGATCAAGCCCACAACCCAGGCATGTGCCCTGACCAGGAATCAAACCATGACCTCCTGGTTCATAGGTCGATGCTCAACCACTAAGCCACTATGGCTGAGCTGATGTTTAGCATTCAAAAATCTAAAATATAAAGAAGTTAAAGGACTTCTTCAAAAACTACAGCTTGTGCTAGAGGGATAATATATACTTTAATCACTCACTCTTCTTAAAGCTAAGTATGATGACCTTGTCAGCATATCTGTCCGCAGTATATCTATTTAATCACCTAAATGTAATGTCTCTAATTTCAAGAAGAAAGTTGAAAATTTCCCATACTATAACATCCTTTTGGAAAATTGGCTTAAGATGGTCTTTCTGTCCCCGATAACCACAAAAAACAAATTCAATTACTATTTTTTTTTTTTTTTTGGTGTAAAAGGCCTTCCACCGTAATACTAGTAATGTTTCCTAATAACAGTGCAGAATCCTAAATAGGCATATGCCCTACTTTCTATGTGTAAGATGATATATATCTTATATGGATTTAATAATACTATATTAATCTGGGTCTCCTAAATTAAAAAAAAAATACTTACATTACATAAAAACAGCTGAAATCTCTCCCAAGGGAGAGATAATAATAAAAGTCACCCACATAGACTGGACCAAAGAAGGGAAGACCTAACTATAGCATACCTTAATAACGTATCACTAATTTCCCATCTCAGTAAGAGCTGCAAAATAAAAGCCATCAAGACCATCTGGGGCCATTTCCCAGTTGGAATTCCATCTTAGTTCTAACCTCGCAGCCCTTTTATCTACAGCAACCCTGAAAGCAAATGGGAGAAAAAGAGAATAATTTTCTTTCTAAACCAAAGCACACAATAATGTTCTTCATGTAAAGGTCTTGACTCCACTTGGGCAGTTACAATCATGTGGTTTTCACATTAATAACACTGCATCAACCCAGGGAAGAAGAATGATGCGTTCTTAATGTGCCCAGTGTAACTTTAAATAAAGCCTTTAACTCCATGAAGGTGAAGATAATCATAGTTTCAAATGGTAGAATTCACTCCCTCCTCGCTCTCAGAATAGAAGTCAAGTCCATAAGTGCAGAGATGGAACAGAGCAGGAGCTCTAAAAGGGACTGGGACCACCCTGTATCACACCTTGATGACAGCTCCAAAAGCTCCTTTGCCGAGAAGCTGTAATTCTTCAAACTCATTGAAATAGCGGGAAAACTGCCTCTGTGTCTCACTGAAGAATGCAGCACCAGGTAGCTGGGTGCTAGGAATAACAGTCTCAATGTAATCTTGTCTTCCAAAATCTGAGATAAAACAAAAGGCAAGAGGCAAATGAGGCATGAGAAATACAGGAAGAGCGCAATATACAACAACGATTCAAGCGTTGGCAGAAGGGGCCCCAACCAGTAGTTTGAAAAAGTACCTCTTACTTGGAAGACTGTTTAATACTTTCCTCACCTTGTCCTCTTTAAAGTAGGTAGAAATATATAATTAGGCCAAGTTTACAGGTGTAGGTAACTTAGACAGAGAGTAAAGAAATGACTGGACAACAGAGCCAGAACCCAAACCCAGGTCTCCTAATCCACCCCAATCTCTACTGAGATCCCTTAATATACTACTTAAGTAGCAGCAGGGAAATCCAGTTACATGGTAATAAGGGCGACATGACAAGAAGAGATAACAAACACTGAAAGAGGCTACACCAATGGTCATTGCATCAGTAGAGACTGGAAAAGCCAGGATGGCAAAAACAGTTCCAGGCACACAGGACACATTAAATGAATGGATTTATGTATATAGCTCAGCATAAAACAGATAAAATAAATCATCCATGTAGTAGTCCCTTCCAGTTTTAGGTTTATATATACTTTCAAAGTAATTTATATCAAGCAGGGTATAAAAAAAGAATGGTAAAAGACTCACCTTCAGGACTTTGTTCCAGTAAAGACTTTTTTGGCTGAGGATTTATAAAGCTGTGTTTCAACAGCTGCTGAGGACTCCATCTTTCCTTGTCATCCAGGCAAACACATCTCAGTGGGAGGGGAGAAAGAATCTCAGCAACACAAAATAAATGCTAAACTAGTTAATCTAAGGCATTTTTCTATGGGTTTATCTTTTAAAGATACACATTAGAGAATTCATGTTATTTATGAACTCAGAGGAATTTAAATTAATAAACATTCCTGCAGAATTTACATGCTAAGCGCCAGGCTGAGTACAAATGGGGAATCAAAAAAAGTATACAACAGCCAACCAGATGGGAAATGATATTTGCAAACAGTAGCTCTGACAAAGGTTTAATTTCCAAAATATATAAAGAACTCATAAAACTCAACAACAAACAATCCAATCAAAAGGTGGGCAGAGGACCTGAAAATACACCTCTCCCAAGAAGACACAGGAACAGCCAATAGATATATGAAAAGATGTTCAACCTCACCGGAAATTAGGGAAATGCAAATCAAAACTACAATGAGATGGCCATTATCAACAAGACAAGCAATAATAAGTATTGGAGAGGTTGTGGGGAAAAAGGAACTCTCATTCACTGCTGATAGGAATGTAGACTGGTAGAACCACTATGGAAAGCAGTCTGGTGATTCCTCAAAAATGTAAGAATAGAGTTACCATACAACCCAGCAGCCCCACTCCTGGGTATATACCTGAAAACCTGGAAATCATGTATTCACAAAGATATATGCATCCCTATGTTCACTGCAGCATTATTCATGGTGCACAAGACATGGAAACAACCCAAGTGCCCTGCGGTAGAGGACTCGATAAAGATGGTGTGGTACATATACACACGGAATATAACTCAGTCCCGAGAAAGGATGAAATAGCACCATTTGCAACAACATGGATGGACCTTGAGAACATGATGCCAAGTGAAATAAGTCAGTCAGAAAAGGCTAAGAACCATGTGATTTCATTCATATGTGGGATATAAAACTGAAACTCATGAACACAAACAGCATGTGGTGGTTGCCAGAGGGAAGGGAGTGGAGGGGAAGGGGGTCCTAATATAAGGTGACAGGAGAAGATTTGACTTTGGGTGGTGGGCACACGGTGCAATCCTGTAACATAGAAACCCACACCTGAAATCTACATGTTCATGTTGACCAATGTCACCCCAATAATTTAATTTTTAAAAAGTGTACAGTAGTCCTCCCTTAGCCGTGGTTTCAGTTACCTACAGTTAGCTGTGGTCTGAAAAATATTAAATGGAAAACTCCAGAAATGAACAATTCTTCAATTTTAAATTGCATACCATTCTGAGCAGCACGATGAAATCTTTCACTGTTCTGCTCTGTGGATCATCCCTTCAGCCAGCATATACATTACCTGCCTGTTGTCACTTAGTATTTATCTTGGTTATCAGATTGACTGTGCTTATGTTCAAGTAACACTTATTTTACTTTAAAATAGCCCCCAAACACAAGAGTAGCCCAATGCTATGTCACGTAAGCATTGTATCATCTCACATCATCATAAGAAGTACATACAGTACAATAAGATATTTTGAGAGAGACCACATTCACATAACATTTATTACAGTACTAGAGGCCTGGTGCACAAAATTCATGCACTGGGAAGGGGGTGTCCCTCAGCCCAGCCTACGTCCTCTCCAATCTGGGACCCCTAGGGGAATGTCCAACTGCCGGTTTAGGCCCGATCCCTGTGGTGACAGCAACTATCATAAATGGTAATATTTTATTTTTTATATCACAGCACTAAAAAGTAAAGCACAATTTAATACATTGAAAGGGGGAAAAAAAGATGGTAATAAAAGCATTTGGGCCGAAACCGGTTTGGCTCAGTGGATAGAGCGTCGGCCTGCGGACTGAAAGGTCCCAGGTTCGATTCCGGTCAAGGGCATGTACCTGGGTTGCGCGCACATCTCCAGTAGGAGATGTGCAGGAGGCAGCTGATCGATGTTTCTCTCTCATCGATGTTTCTAACTCTCTATCTCTCTCCCTTTCTCTCTGTAAAAAATCAATAAAATATATTAAAAGCATTTGGATAAGATACTATATTTCTCCCTAAATTTAGGATTAGTTTTTAATTCTGTCAGCAAAACATGAATACCTTCTCCTTGCAGATACTATGAAAACATTACTGATAATGAAAAAGGTCTTTGACAACCATCCAAACAAAACATATAGTTATGTTTTGTGGATATTGATTTTTT